AATGTATATTTTTCGCAAATATTTGATTTAATTTTATTAGTCATATATATTTATATATATTATTCTATTATATATAATTATTCAGAAAGAAAAATTAAATGTGAATTTATAAATATATTTCTTCAAGTTTTAGATGTTTTATTAATTAATATAATTAATAGAATATATTAATGATCTCGATTTGTGAGAACAAAACCTTTATTTATTTTATTCTATTGAATTTATAATATATTGATAATCTAATAAGTTTCTCTCTTCAAAAAATAAATTAATTATAGTCACTGAAATTCGTATGTAATTTTTTTAGGAATGTTGCAGCTTTTACAATCGCCTCCTATTAATCTAAATAGAAATCTGCGCTTTTTCTTTCGAAATGAATCGAGTTTTGTACCAAAGAAAATACTTATCGTGGCAAAGTTATCCCGGTATCATTTTGAAAAGTTGATGGAACCTGAACTTGATGAGGCCCAGTTAAAGTTAAAATTGTTAGAAAGAGGCTCCGATTATGATGCCATGCTTGCTAGTCACTTAACTACCAAAGCTGTGGAAAATCAAGTTACTCAAATCTTACAGAAGATGAATGTGGAATATAGGATAATAGACAGGTAAGCTCTTTTTAATAAACAAAAGTATAATTAGTAACTCTAGTTTTTTATTTGTAATAAAAAAAGAATCACATATAGAATACATGGTTTTGACTACTATTAACTATTTCGATATTTTTTTTTAATTATTGAGATATAAATAATAAAAAATATTTATCTTAAAATAAAAGAATATTGTATTTTTTCAGAACAAGTTTAGACCAGTCATATTTTACATGGGCAGATTTAGTGTTACCAATCGGCGGTGATGGAACATTTCTCTTAGCTTCGAATTTAATATTTGATAATAAAAAGCCTATAATAGGCATCAATTCAAATCCCGAGAAATCAGAAGGTTATCTTTTGTTATCGGCAAAGTATACTAAGGCCATTCCAGAAATTTTTGAAATGCTGAAAGCAGGGCACTATAGTATACTTATGCGAAGACGAATTCGGATCACTTTAAAAGGAGATGAAATATGGCAAGAGCCATTTCATATGCATGAAAAAGGACGCGTGGTTGGTGACAGGTATATTAATATTATAATTAAATCAGTAAGCATTTCTTAAATCACGAACTAGCGGTAGTTTATCTTTATTAAGTTTATTATTTTTGTGTTCCTTAATAGTACAAACTTTATTATATATTTATTATTATTAGGTTTTATACGAAGAAACAATTTAATAAGCACAAAGAATTACCAAAAGAAAGGCGTTTACCTTGGTTAGCACTTAATGAAGTGAGTTTATTAATGTTCCTCGATACACATGCATATATTAAAGATCGTGTGACCCAACTTACTCTTTTATACATATCTTAGGTCTGGTTTTTGTCACTAGGTTTTCATGGGCGAAACATTATCGGCACGAACAAGTTCCTTACTTATAAAGATGGATGAGAAACAAAAGTATCAAAAAGTAAAAGGCTCCGGTTTGTGCGTGAGCACTGGAACAGGGTCAACGTCTTGGTATAAATCTATACACAGCGTAAATTATCAAACTGTGCAAGAAATATTAAATCTTGTAGATACCAAGCGAGAATTTACCAACGATGAAATTGAGATGATCTGTTCGATGTTCAATGGTAGCTTACGATTCGATGCAGGTTAGTCATGCATATGAATATGAATTCAACCAGAAAAGATATATTGTTATTTAAAAGGTATGTATTTTAAAAGAATATCTATTTTATTTACAGAAGATTCCAAATTGTGTTATTCCATACGGGACCTGATAATGACCAACGCAATGCCCGTGCCGAAGGGCATATCCACTCGTGGCTTCTGTGAAAAAATGATTGTGAAATCGCAGTGTTTTGACGCCAGTTTAGTTCTTGATGGCGGTATAGCGGTTCCCTTTAACTTCGGCACCATCGCAAAGATTGAGACTTTTTCTGAAGACTCACTGCGAACTATCACTCTTCCTGATTGATTCGATGGATTTTAATGGATTATGATACTTAGATAGCATTTTTTTTCTAAATATACAATTTTATTACTACGTAAATACCATTCCCGCATTTGTGTATTAAAGTTAACAATTTCTACGAACAAACGTTTAAGACATAATGTATATATTTTTTGACAACAAATGTGTCGAGGTGATAAAACATAATAATTATTTTTGTCATATTTAATTATTATAATTTCTTGAAATGAGTCATTTAATTTTAAGACCAAGTTTTTTGTTTCTAAAATTTAGGCTACATTTGTAATCATAACATAAGATTTACATAAGATTTAGTATATTTCATACTATTATTACAATATGAACAGGGTCATCATTATCAAATGTGCTCTTTCATGTTCTAAGTCAGTATGAAAGTTGAAATGATTAAATTGTTATATATACATGTATATATATAACTTTTTAGAATATTTTAGAATATTTTAGATGCATAAAAATAGGCCAATAAAAATTTTACACATCAATGTATCTATGTATAATTTATTCGATCGAATAAATTTTGTATGTATTTTATGATAAGAATTTTTGTCTTAATTAATTAATAATTTTACATTTTGAATTTTTATTTCCTATGAAAAACATGTACATATATATATATTATATATATTTATATATATTTATATTTATACATATTATTTATAACAAAATATTTATGTTGCAATTTTTTAAGTTAAAAATGATACGATATATGACTTCTGATACTTCCCTTGCATTTGAGTGAAAATCTCATTATATGATTATGCCCTTTCAGAGATTTCTTAACACACTCTGTGGCACACACTGTGGGTGTTACACTTTCTGCACTCGAAACGAAATAGGCACATAATCAGATATTTCGTGAAAGAAAGACGAAAGACGAACAGTGCAACGAATTCAGTTAGCAAGGTGCAAGAGGCAAATCTACAAAAATACGCTTTGTCTCAGCATGATGATAGTTGGACACGCTGAGCCGCGATTCCGAGATGTTTAACTTCAGGCCTGATTAAACGTCACCGTACTCCCTTGTTTATATTCGGTGATTCGATTACCGTGGAGCGACCAAGGTTTACTTATCGCGCGAAGGCATGCGATGCGATGCACGTGCGTGACATTGTCACATTGACAGGCAATTCGACTACCTGGCCATATCTATGAGAACTCTCAATCGCGAAACGGTAAGGAAAGATAAACAGAAAGATATAAATGGAAACGATCAGCGAGGATCGGTGCGCGATACGACTCCATCTTTTGCATTCAACGACGCTAATACTTCCTGAATAGCGGCGAGAACGCGCAAAATTTCCGCGGATAAATTTTTCACGCTCGGTCGCTCGCGTCATATTGATGGAGTAAACAACAGTATTTGCAATTTTGAGGTTAGAATATAAAAGTTAACCTTTATGACCGAGCCGCGCGTCGACCTGAAATGGAATATTCCTCTTATCTTTTTTCTCTGATCGATTTACGTTAAAAAGAATCAACAACATTTACACAATGTATTACATTTGTTTTTTTTTTTTTTTTAATGTATAATAGAGTACTCTCTCTTTTTTTAAGATTCTTTATAAAATTTTTTTATAAAATTTATCATGAAAATATTTTTAAATACATAAAGATTTAATGTACAATTTGAGAATAATATCGATGTAATGAAGAATAGACAATACTTAAAAAAAAAGTGATTTAGGAATGAAATGAACAAATTAAGTGAAAACCGTAGACTCGCTCAAAATAATTTGCCTCAGATTTCAGAATAGAATTCTGCTTATAATTTTGTATATTTTTTTATACGTGTTCCAAGATATGCTCTTTTTATATAAGCGTATATTTCTATTTTTTAATATTTTTTTCATAATACAATAGATAAAATTATAAATAAAATTCTATCCTATATTCTGAATGAAAAATCTATTAATGAATTGTATGCCGTTTAAAGTTAATGCGAAATCTATAATTAATATTTCTGTTGGAATATTGCCTTGTAATATTAAATACGTCAGACGAGAGATGCTATGAATTGATAATGATGTATACAGTTTTAATCTGCTGCGATATGTTATCGAATATTCTTGATTTAATCATTCAAATTGTTTATGGAAACACATCCCATAATGTTATATTAATATGTTGATTAAAGATTAGACACTGCATATTAGTGACATATCATTCAAGTAGTAATATTATATCAGACAATTGATTCAATAATTATTTCATGTATAATTAAATAGTTTAATCACATACAATAATATTTTGATATACTTTAAAATCTAAGATTCAATTTAATTGAGAGATTTCACAAAAAGAAAGCTTTAGAATAGAATAGAATAGAATATCGTGTTTGTAAAGTTGTATATTTATGCAAATATAGAAATTATAACATAACATTTTACTAATAATTCCGTAATCTTTTAAATTTTATCATATTTTACAATTTTATAAATATTTTTATCGCGAGTATCGTTGTTGATATAGAAATTGCAATTAATAGTCGTAAATTTAGCAATGAGGAAAGAGAGAGAGAGATAATAAGAATTCTTGTTTTCATCTGCATATTTATTGCAGAGATTTCTGATATGTTTGTCGCAAAACCATCTGTTTTAATATCAAAAACGAATTTAAAGATTATTATTATACAATTATATTAAAATTATATACAAGAAAGTATTTTATATTTATATTATGCATATATATATATAACAATTAATACCAGAATTCACCAAAAAATGAAATAGCATATGCAATCTACGCGTTTATTAACATTTCTGGATTTTCCATTTTTTAGAATATAAATACTCATACATATATTATTATTATTAAACGTATTCAGTTGCGTTCCTATCTTGCGTTTAAAATCGATTTTGGAAGAAAAAACGGAAGAGATATAAAATGTAAAGAACATAGAAAATTAAAACGAATCATGCTATTATTTCTATTGTTTCTAATATGGTTATTTATATATGCTTGCTATATGTATCATTTTCTTGCATGGAAGGTCGACATTACGACGACGACATTGAAAGTACACCGGAAGAATGGCAGAAGATGAGAGGCAAATTAGAATGGCTGCTGAAGCTATATTAAGTGGCTCGATCAATTCTCAAAGGAGTTCGGTTACTCAGCACAGCATGACACGAACGCCGGATATTGTTCTCAGTGAGGACCTCATCGCAGGAGCGAGGCATAATGGCAGAATGTCCAATGTTAGACGATTCTTTTGCCTCTTCATCACTTTCGATCTTCTTCTAACATTCCTCATGTGGCTCATTTGTACAATGGTACGCTAATCCAAGACATTATTTGAATTGCGCTTAATTAACGTAAATCGGGAATATAATATTGTCAAAGATCAGAGATTTTTTATTTCAATAAACCAAATGACTCGTTTGCTTCTATTCTTATCTACGTAATGTCGAAGAATTATTTCTTATTTGCATATTTTTACTTGCATATTTTTGATAATAAAGATTCATTACATTTGTAATATATAAATAATATTTTATAAAAAGCATAAAGAAATTAAATAAAACAATGAGACGTCTTATTACATATATTTTTTAAATAATTGATTTAAAAAACATTTAAGATATTTTTAAAAAAATCTATAATTATTTTATTATTTACAGATTGCAGGTGAAAGTTTAAATATAGCTTTCTCAGATCAAGTGATACATTATCATATAAAGACATCTTTGTTCGACATTGTGGTAAGTACAATCTGTCGTTCATTGGCAATGAAAGCTTAAGAATGACGACAGTGACATTCAGTTCGTCATAATTTTTCATTATTCATTGAGAGCAGAGATTTTACGGATTTCATCTTCTCAGATGGCAGCGATTTGCAGGTTCACGGTCTTGTTGCTCTTTTATGCGCTGTTATATCTCAACCATTGGATTATTGTAGCTGTGAGTATAATCATCAGTTAAACTTTCTTACGAAAAAAAGAGTTTATAATGAATAAAATTATATATATTAAATATAAATAAAATATATAAATATTCTCCGATTTCGTTTTCTAATAAATATACAAAGAATAATTTCTTGTATTTTACAGATATCAACTGCCACAACATGTGCCTTTTTAATTGCCAAAGTTTTTCTTTTTGATGTAAGTATATTTGAAAGAAATATATGTTTATTATTACTAATATTTGTTATGTAATTTATTTAATATCATATTTTCAGTGGACATCAGCTAATCAACCAGTATTCCAAGTTCTATTAATCTTGACATCTTTTGTATTAGCGTGGGCAGAGGCTTGGTTCTTTGATTTTCGCGTCATACCTCAGGAAACTCAAGCGAGAAATTGGATTCGAAGTAAGTTTCTCTCAGCAATTCAATTTTTCTTGTGTTTAAATTATTAGTCAATGAAATGTAACAATATAAATATTGGATTTACTTTATAACTAATATTTTATAAAAACACGAATTTAGTAGTATAGATAGTATAGATTAATATATGAAGCAAGGAGCATTATATAACTTAATATTTAATTTTAATCTTTAATTTAAAATTAATTATTAATTTAAATATGAAAATATGAAAAAATATTGAAGTTTATGAAATTCACAGATTTTCCGGATACAGAAAGAACTCCATTATTACAAGACATTATTACTGAATCACGACAATATGGGGCAAATGTCGATCATCGATTCTTTACACCTGTGGAGTCTCCGACTCATTCTGATGATGAGGACATCCCTAGAAAACAAGAAGATTCAAGGAAGCTCTCAAAATCGAGTGAAATATTTACGTTTCTATCAAAACTTACACCTGATAAGGTTAGTGAAACGCGTTTTTTTCGAAAAAAGTTTCTTGCATTAATTAATCATTAATAATCGTAACGAGTATTAAAAGCAAAAAAAGATTATATATGTCTTATACATAAACAATAAACAAGGATTAGGCAAATAAGTTTTTGCTTATCATGTTTATCATATGTCTTATGTTCTTGACTCTAGTTTATTGTTTGATGGTTATTATAGTCAAAGTGATATCTATACGTTGTATCGATGAGCACTTAAATAACTCTTCAAGGATGTAATAATTATTTAGAACTATTACGTAAAAATATATAATTAACCTTGAGTTTATCTCTATATTTTTATCAAGGATCTGGACCGGGCTGAAACCGAAACCGATAACTGGATCATAATCGTTATTTTAGTCGGACTGAAACTGAAAATCGGATTGAAATATTGGACAGACTGATGGACCGGAATCGTAACCGGATTAAAAAATTTTTTTCCAGTTTTCGATCCGATTTTCGATCTAGTTTTCGGTTCGGATTTGTTAAATATTTTATAAGACGGGATCTACAGTAAAGTTGCAAAGTAATAGCGGTCATAACATACTCGCGATAGTCAATCAAAGCGTTCTGATTGGCCGTTGCAACTAATATTACGTCCACTATTGCGACTTTGTGATCTATTGTAAACCCCGCCTAAGAAAGAATTATTTATTTGGAGGAATTGGAAAATTTCTAATGGCAGCTCATTAAATTGTTCGAAGCCCAAATGCTCATATGTATATGGCGATGCGGACATTTTCGCGCTCCTGTACATTTGAAACTAGAAACAGAGTAGTGCACTTTTATTCTATAAATCTATAGTTCCTTTAATCCACGCTCTGTAGAATATTCCATAGATAGATATAGTAAGAATAAATTGCCCATTTACAAGAAGAAACCTCCCATGATTTATTGTGATTAACTTTTTCTTTAATAAACATGACTTTTTTATAATATGCGAGTTATTATACTTATATTCTTTTTTATACAATTAAATTTTACAATAGATAATTATAATCCATAACCGAAACTCGAAAAAGACCGAAAATCAAACGGTTACACCGTTATCAGAAGAATCGGAATCGAAACTAAAACCGAAAATTTGATATCGCTTCGGACTGTAACTATAACCGCGGACCGAAATTTCATTTCGATCCGGATCCCTGATTTTTATTCCTATTATCCTATTATAATAATATATAATGTTCATAGTAAGAGTAATTCTTAAAAAGATATTATTTGAACAACAAGCGATAACGAAAATTGGTGGGGGACATACAGAGTGGGGAATACTACGAGAATAACAAAATATAAAGCACCGAGGAACATGCTATTCTTAGTCGATTACAAAATTTATTTGTGATAACTAGATGTGCTTTATATTTAATCACTTTTTTGTGTATTCTACCATATTAAATTTTAGTTTGCATATGTATTTTATTTAATTGTTTACGTTATGTTTTCCATTTTTAATTTGTTCGATATACGTATTTTTATTCGTACGATTATACGTCCCTTTTTTTGGGTGATGCTCTGAAATATTTGCCCAAATCTATGGAAAAAAATTGGTACTTAAAACAAAAATGGATAGAAATCTCAACAGTCAATGAAATATTTCTTGTAAGTTACTCTATTTATTAATTTTACTATCATTATTATAAACTTTTCAAACTTTTAAATCGATTTAGTTTCTATATAAATTCGATAGTAAACAATTGCAAACATTTTTTTAAGTATGACACAGTTTAATTAATTAATAGAAAACAATTTTTAAATATTATGCATAAGTAATAATAATGTTAATAGATGTTCACAATCTTGCAATTTTATTACATGTGATATAGAGAATAATGTATATATTATATAAATTATTAACTCTAAAGATTTAGAAAATTGTTAATTTAGATCTGCATATCAAATTATAAATTGAACAAAAAACAAAAAATACATTGCATAAAAAAAATACATAAAAATATAATCTTTTTTTCTAATATTTTTTAAAATATGAAATATATAATAAATAATTTTTTAATGCTACAAACACTATTATAAATACTATTATATGTAATATGTATTATAATGTATAATGTTATGTATACAGTACAATGTACAATGTAATGTATACAGTATAAAATATATATGTAATTTTATAGGATTATTTTAATGAATTAAATGAAAGGAAGAAAAGTGATCTAGTAATGAAAAATTGATATGCACAAACCGCATACTTGCACTTGATTTACATTGACTTATATATAATCGCATTAAAGTTTTTTTTATGAGAATTTTTTTCTTTTAATGAAATAATCTTTATTTTATTTAAAAATGGCAATTCTAAATGTTAATTTTGATGATATTTTCTATTAGATAAGCGATAGAAAGAAAAACATTAATTAAAGATTAAATACATTAATATATATAAAAATGATAATTCACGTTTTAATAAAATAAGTTTTTACAGATACAATGTGAATTTATGATCATTTATTATCATCTATAGATATTTACTTTAAATAACAGATATAACAATTTTTTATTTGGCTGAAAACAATGAATTTTAATAAACTCCATGAATGTGTACTCATTATTAAGTATTAGTAGATTCGTATTGCATTGGAAACACGTGTCAAGCATATGCACCAAACAATAATCAAAAATATAATCATCTGTTATATTTTCGCAAGTACAACGAATCAATCACGTTATTTATTGTTAGCGCGATAATAATAAGTCCGAAGAGCAAATATACATTTTTATTTAATACACTTTATGATTGTTGTGTCAAAGTAATTTTTCTAGAAATTTACATCAATAAACATATACATAAAATGTTTTCATAATATATTTTGAAAAAATATTCACAGATTAAATCCTTAGATATTAATTAAACATTAGGATCTTCTACATGCTTTTTATTTAGATTGATGAGTATAAAGAGAGAGCATCCAAGATGTCACAAAATTGTTATGACTTGTTAACATCGAAAGAATGGAAAATTACAACTACATCAAAGGAAGGCGATGAAATATCCTGTTTGCAATTTCTTCCAGAATGGATACCGGATGGAAAAGTTATGAAAATCTCGGTAAGTTGCATATAGCTTAAATTGAAGACATATGATTTTTTTAATGAAATAATATTCTCATTTTATAAATAATTAATACAATTTAATTGTATCTAAGGGTATTATCGATGCACCTGCTAGCGTAGTGATAGATTTGTTATTTGATCATGTCGAAGAATTGACATCGTGGAATAAATTCTTGACAGAATCATTAGAATTACAGGTCAGTAAAATTAAAGTTTTTTACTTTTTTCTTTTTTCTAACGTAATATCTTAATATAATGTTATATCTTATTATATTGTTGAACTGTTTTTTAATAGCGTATTGATGAAAACACGGATATTGTTTACCAAGCAACAAATCCTTATGGCGGCGGACTCATTACGGCTCGAGATTTCGTGACTTTGAGGCATCGTAAAAAATTCGGCGACTATTATATGGTTAGTGGTGTATCGGTTCCTACTGCGTCAGTAAAACTTCGTCCCAACGTGACAAGGTAAGACGTTGAAATAAATTATGATTATATACGTAAGAGAAAAAGAGCGAGAGAGAAGAATAACTAAAGATTGACCGTTATTTTAAATATTTTTAAGGGGTGAAAATGGTGTAACATGTTTTGCAACGGAGGAATTGCCTGACGAAACTAACAAATGTCATTTCACTTGGATTCTGAATACAAGTCTTAAAGGCTGGATACCACAAACTGTTGTGGATAGATCTATGTCTAGTGGTTTCGTAGATTTCATGACATACATGAGAAAACACTTGAATGACCTGCAAAAATCATCAATCTAGTATACAGTGTTACTCATAAAATCAATAAATTAGATTACTTACTTTTTTTATGTATTAGCTTTATATTTTTTTTTTTATTTCAATATATGTTGATATTGTATATAATATGTATACATATGCGCGTACACACATCACACATATACACACACAAACGCGTGCACGCGCTTATACCACCTACACAAAATAATATTAAAATTCATACAAAGATAGATTTAATAGAGAAAATTTTTTTTAAATAGTTGAAAAGATGGATACATTTAAAACAAATGTTTTATTTGAAAAAATGTGTGATTTTCAAAATAGTTTGATGAAATATCTATTTAAGATATATCTGCTATGAGTAAAATAGGTAAGTTCTTTTATTGAAATCGAATGTATGTGTGAAATAGTTACAATTTTAACTTAAATTAAGTAGAGTATGTTTCAATTATATTTGTAAATTTTTTTAGCGTAAAAATTTTATCGATGTCATATAGGTATTACCTATACATTATATGACTTTATCTTGAAAAGTGTACGCTATTCGTTTTTCTCTCGCAAGAGTTATTTCTAATTGTGATAGATAAACAAGAAAGGAACATGCTACTCTATTCTTATATAAATATAATCGTTCTTGTTTTATAAAACGTGTTGTATAGTAGTAAATAAGAAATATATTATGTGCTTTTTGTAAGTGCCTATAAATGTTCTGTTAAATACATCTTTCGACGTACAATGTACGTCTTGCAAATATGAACATGCATGATGGCATCTATCATGTATCACACAGACAAAGAACAAAGCCGTGATATTTAAAAAAAGATATATATAGAAATATATTAATAATTTCTTTTTTAATGTATTTCTTTTTAATATTTATGATTTATATTGAAAAGTTATTCTTTGCTTCCTTCAATTACGTAAAGCCCTATATAGTGATATTGTACATATACATAATGTGCATTTAAATGGACGCAATTGCCGAATGAATTTTTAAGTTTAATGTATTGTGTTATTATTATGCATATATCATATGTTTGATCAATTTTGTACAATTAATATAAAATGTAATGTAAATGAGAAAACGCACACTATTTTCATATATTGAATTGGATAAGCTTCTTGGAAATTATGGAAAATATAATTGGACGTTTATTCTTGAACTTTCTTCATTTAATTATCGTCAGATATATAAATCGGTAATACGAAAGAGAATATGATATAGAATGTATGTACAAGTCTTAATTGTGCAATTTTTGATGATGCATTATGTTTATGATGCGTTATGTGGAGATAAAATGAGCAGTAACAGATGATATGACTGCGCTTCTAAGCTAGAGGAATTTTTTATATTATTTATGCCATTACTCGGTCAATGTTATACATTTTTATCTAATACATGATATAAAATATACGCGTGTAGAATGTTACGAAATAAGTATATAATGATGTTAATTAGAAATAAGGATGATGTAATGGTATAATAATGTTTAGTAACATTTTTCAAAAAACAAACTGTTTTTCTAGCTGAGGAAATCAATTTAAACGAAAGATAACCGGCCTATTTTATTGTGAAAAACAATTTATTATGTAAAGAAAGTAGAAATACCTAAATGATATAATTATGTATTCTGTTGAGAAAGAAAGAGAGAGAGAAAGAAAGAGAATAATATTTCAATTAATAGTCAAAAGATTAATTTTATTTACCAAATGTAAATATATAAATAAACATATTGAAAGCTAAATGAAAGAGATCTCCAATCGAAAGAGATCAAAAATATGTTAGTTACTTTTTAAGCTTCAAAGAAGGGAGGGTGTGCGTCACGGCGGGACCCGATCACGAATCA